TTTTCATATTTATAGTAAAAAAATATTTTTTTTGTTAAATGTAAATTAAGAATTGAATAAAATAATAAATTCATATTAATACAAATAAATGTTTATATAGAATTCAAATTTAATATTACATGAATTATTTATAACTTTACAAAGTTAAATTTAACGTAAAAACAAATAACAACTGAATGTATTTCTAATTACTATTATCAAATATTTATAGTATAAGTACATCTCAACTAAGTTGACACCTACTTTTATTATAATTTATAATTTAAGTACATCCCAATTATGTTGACTTTCTCCCTCTTTTTTTTTCAAATTAAAAAAAAATTCACGGGCCAGCGGGTTAACAGCAGTGGCCCGTGCAGGTGCAACCCGCGAAACCCGCGGGTCACACCTCATTGACCCATGAACCGCCCGTTTGGGTCACGGGTTGACTCGCGGTCTCGGGTCGATCCGGGCCGGTTTTCACGGGTCTGGCCGGCCCATCCGTTTTGGCACCTCTAGCACAGACAATAGATGTTACGAATAATATATATACCATGTGTTCAATCACCTTGATAATTGTTTAATTAAATGCGATATCACCTATATAATTGTGTAATTAAATGCGTTCTACTAATTCGAATTCGGACTATGCATATGATCGAGTCGTGTTTAGAATATTAATAATTTATCTTGGAAAAGTAAGTTGAATACAATATGATTATCGATTATAAACAATGCAAGAATGAGATTAATTTACATAGTTGAGAATTGAAAATAGGATGATAATAATATGTGGATTTGGATTTCCAACACATACATATTATATTTAGTTTAAAATCATTAAAGATAACTAGTAGAATAATTTAGATATAAATAAAATCATCTATTGCATTATTTACATTTGAATTTGATAACAAGTTGATATTATTCAATTTAAAGTTTATCTCTTGTGCGATGATACTTTTAACTTATAAAATCTATAACTTGACAACGATCTCATATGTTTGTAGGATTTATCCAAACACCTATTTGAAGTAACATTGATAAATCATTGGATTTACTAAAATATTTCCAATCTCTAGAGAGCTAGTTGATGTATGTGAAGAGTTGGTATATCTTAAAACTAGAAAGAAGTATGTCACATGGTGTATTGACGTGTACACCTAAAGGGAATAGGGTTAAAGTAGTGAACATGGACACAAGAGTTTGACAATAACATGTAGGAGTCTGGAGATGGCAATGACTATTTTATTTGTTTAGCAACCTGTTTCGCGCGTTTTCGCTCGCTAACAATTAAAAAAGGGAATCAGACGATTGTGTAAGGGACAAATTTCTTGGAATAAAGTCCCAGAAAGGGGCGTTTATTGAATATGAAGATTAAAATTTGGACATGAACAAGATGCCTTCAATGGGCGCAAGCACACAAGTACAAGGGAATTGAAGTAATTAAAAATTAATTTAAGAAAAGTAAATTACATGTTCTCTATTTTGAGAGTGAATTTTGTCAGGGCTTCTCTTCGTTGTCTTCCTCTTTCTTTTATACGGTTTGGGTAGTTTTGATCATTTAGAAACTGTTTGTAACTACCCATTCCTTTCATCATGGTCGGCTGGCCAATAACTACCGTGTGCAACTCCTATCACTACGCCCTCTTCATAACTGCTTACCATCAACTCTCTCAAATCGTAAGGCGTAATTATGATGTGCTCAAACCGTCTTAGATCGTGACTTTGGATAACAACAAGCTTTAGTCATTGCTGGGACTCTGGGCGACTCAGTATTCTTGGGCGACAATCGATCTTCTGCTCTGGGCGATTATAGAATGTTTCATTCGCTCAACATCTGGGCGTTCTGCAGGCTTGGGCGACGACGTACCTTTGTTTTTGGGCTTTCATCATATTTGATGACATTTCTGATTGGGCTTTTACCCTGATCTCTTTAGATGGGCTTCCTCTCTTGGGCCATTTGAATTGAGCTGAATATTTTGTGTGTCAACACAACCTATCAACTTGAAAAATTACATGCTAGAGGAGTACGCTCATAAAACTAAGTATAATCCGTATCCTAGTAATCGTACTCATAAAAGAGAAAGATAAAGAAAAAAGATTTTACACAATTACTTTGCTAAACGATCTAGGAAGGCATGCGTATGCATTGTTATCCCTATATATAGGGTAATTCCATTTATATAATAGATGGTTGATAATAGAGGCTGACAACCTCTCACATGCATGGGGGTCCTACGTGATTAAAAAATTTCAAAAAAAAAAGTGCGCCCCTCCCATTGTGAGTGTTGGTAATCCAACATTGTCATCTTCCATTTTACATGTAACATAGTTGAATAATATAATGGATTATGCTAGTGGTACTTAGGGGTAACAAAAAGGAAAAAATTAAGAAAAAAATGTTTAAAAAATTATTAAAATTTGTAATTGAAAATGAGTATGAAAAAATATGATTCTCAAAGAACCAAGAAGATCTAAATAAAAATCAGTGTCTAACTTACATAAAATATAAATAAATTAATGATTAAGACATAAAATAATTAGACTTGTTTTCAATCCTTCTTTCTGTTCGACAGATCCAGAATAGAGACGACTGATGTGAAACATAATTAATTATTTGAGGCAAACCTGAAATGATCTATTAATGATAATTAAAACAAAATAATGTCGCCAAAGAATTTATTTTTGTTCAAAAACACCATTTTAGTGGACCCTAAATAGATCTTATTGCTAATTGTTGGCATAAATGTGACTATATCACTGTCACAGAGGGGTGCATATTTGTGTTGCTACCAACCTTTTACTTATTATTATTATTTTTTTAATTTGATGAATTAATCAACGTTTTGAACATTAACCCGAGTATTCAGGATTCGAAAAATGGTTCAGATTAGAGTAAATGTTTTCTCCTTTTATAACAAATGAATTGGTAACAATTGTCGATTCACCCAGTCGTCACATATGACCGTCCAGTCAAACTTCTTATAATAATTTTTATATTCAGTTGTGCTACACGATCAGAATCAATGACATGATTTTTTTTTCCAGACAAAAAGTGTAAATTTTCATTGAAAATTGGAAAAAAAAAAAAAGAAGACAAAAAACTCAAATCAGGGGCTGCCAAATCAAACTGTCACCGTATCCTGTTTTTTTCCTGTGTCCAAGCAGCAACATTCTTTTATAGAACAATGCTAGAAAAACAGGGCAAAAAATCAGGGAATTGCGTACACGTGAATTCCTGTGTACAGTTGGCATCAAAACATTGGGGGATGGGAAAATTTAAAACAAAAATCGGCAAGTCAAGAGGCGCCACATGTGTCTGGTTTCAAACCTTGTCTGAATTTCTGTTTGAGTGGCTTTATCCTTTTATATTTCGTCATTCATGTGTAAATGATTTATAAGTTTAATACAATTCGAGGTAAATAATGATTCAAATACAGTGAATTTCTTGGGAATCTTATCTCGCCATTTCCTTCAATTTGAAAAACCAATTCTATGTTAGGACATATGTAGCAGCCTTGAACATGGTTTCCTTGTCCATAAATTATGTTCACAGCTATATATATATATTGACAAACATATTTGTGCTTTCATGATTGTGATCCCAAACTAATTTTGTTATACGTTACTGTTTCATAGATATTAAAATCAGATTTTTAGTAGATTTGATAAAAAAATGATAAAATATATAGTTAAAAAATTGTGGATCATATGAAATGTGTGGTTAAAATTAATTGTTGATCTTAACTTTGATTTTAATCAGAATTTTTAAAAGTTCCAAAAACAGGGCAAAATTTTCGAATATGGGCACGTTAACTAAGGTTAAAAGGTGTTTACAAGCCGGATATTCTTTAAACCTACACGTTAAGAGGTAAAATTTCACATTATTAATTTATAAAGGCTAGATTTATTCTTTATAATAAGGTTGACATTTTAGTATTGAATCTATGTCTTAAATTCAAACGTATAGTTCGGATCGACTAAGCCCCTGTTTGGTTTGACTAAAAATCAAATCTTTAGTAATTTTTGATAAAATTGATGAAATATGTAATTGAAAAGTTGATAAAATTTGCATGCCTCATAAAACGTGTGGTTAAAAATGAGTTTAGAAAAAATAACTGTTTTAAAAATTGGGACCAAACGGGGGCTAAATTGCTCGAACAAGCATTTGAACTCCAATATTGTTGTGTCATAACGAGTCAGCATATTAGGAGACATCTTGAGAGTAGCCAACGTATAAGGGCTTTAGTCAATACTATGCTTCCATGGCTAGAACAAGGCGGGATAAAAGAGGAGATTGATGGGCGTAAGACAATCTTACCACTTTGAATATTAGTACTACAAGGAAAATGATTTATGGAAAATTAAACTAAAAAACGATTGAAATTCAAGTCATTTTTAAGTTATTCATAAGATTTTGACAATATAATGCACATAAGAAAAGAAAGATTCTACATACACAATGAAGTGTTTGATGGACATGACTAACTTCTGCAGATAATTGTTGAGACACTTTAAAACGTTGGTGAACCAGAATTCGAAGAATTCACCAAATTAAGAATACTATTCCAATAATTCTTGTCATCTTCATATTGATCACTACCACTGCCACTAGGGCCGCCGCAGTTAAAAGACTCTCCGGCACCATCGCCGGAGAAACTTCGGTCACCACCGGCAGTACTTAACAGAAGGTCTGTGAATCTCTCCACAAAGTTTCCACTTGGAACATGCTCAGAATTTGCCACGAGAGATTGTGATTCCCATGCATTTTCCACTGGCAATGAAATGTCATGGATTCCGGAGGTAAACGATACTGAATTTGCAAGTGTTGAGTTCCCGAAGCCTTTCCAATCCTCTTCGCCCTCTTCTTTCATGATTCCGGCCTCAGAGGATCCGGACGAGTTACCCACAAAGTCCACAAATGCAGTCGAGTTCTCTCCGATTCCGGTGGTGGACATAGGTGGAGCATTCTCCGAATAGCTAAGTGTAGAGGTGGGGGATTCAAGTTCACAACCAAGTCCCACCATAGCACCATCACCACTAGCACCGCCATTCCACGCCTTAAGTATGTGGAGACATCGTGCCGGGCCGACAGGCATGTTCATCGGGCTCGAAGTACTCGAGCTAAATTCAGACGAATTGAGAGGATTCTTGAAAGAATTTGTACGTAACTTGGATTGTCTAGCAAGTCGTGCCTCGGCCTCTAAACGGGCACTCTCCCATTGAGCCATATGGCTAAGATTAGCTGCATTTTTCGACTGACCTTCGCTTGACTTGAGAGTATCGTTTTTCGGCTTGTGGGTCACCGGATCGATTCCCATTTTGTCCAATCTTTTCTTCAAATGTGTGTTCCAATAATTCTTGATTTCATTATCTGTTCGTTTGGGCAAATGTGTGGCTATAGCCGACCATCTGAGAAAAAGACAATCTTAAAATTAACTAAAAATGCCAAAGTTTCAGACAACAAAAAAACAAATATCCTATAATAAAAATATTTACCATTGGTTCTCAAGTTCAAACAAGAAGAAACCCTCTTTTTTATGTTATCGAGAAGTAAATACAAGAGCAGACGTATTGAAAGATGGCATAGAAAAACTTCGTGCGAATCTGAAATAATATATTCTGCAATTCTTATGGACATTGGCTAACAAGGCAACATTGAGCAGTAATCAGATAGAACTGAACAGTACAATAAATTAAATTTAATCCGTTTCAAAAAATCCATTTGTTGAGGGGAACAAGATATAATAATCTTTACTGAAGGAGTAATGCTATTCATCCCTACTGGGGATGAATAACATTACTCTTACTGAAGTCAAGACTCAAGATTATTAGCTGTTCTTCAACAATTTTGTTAAATAAACAAAATTATTAAGAGCAAAAACCTGTTTCCTAGGAGGGCATGGAGTTGAATGATGGTCTGCTCTTCTTGTAAACTGAACTTCCCTCTTTTGATATCAGGTCTCAAATAGTTAGTCCATCTCAATCTGCAACTCTTCCCGCATCTCTGAAGCCCTAAAAAACAACCCATAAAGAATAAGTGAAGAAACACTGGAGTTTATGTTCGTCCCGAATAGTACAATAAACAAGATTTCAACTTATTTCTCATCTTTATGCACTCAACCACAGCCCACCTCACCAAACAAGAACAAGCCATAACTTAAGTACAACTTTGCTTGATTCAGTAGAGTCAAGTACTGTGTAGTACACCACACGAAACAAGAATTAAAGAAATGGTAGATAATTACCAGCTTTTGCAGGCAAAGCTCGCCAGCTTCCATGGCCATGTTCTTCAATATAAGTAAGAAGTTTTTGATCTTCTTCAGGTGTCCATGGCCCTTTCTTCAAACCAACTTTATCACAACAAGGAGATCGACCCATTGGCAGTTCAAATTCTATCAGCACAAAAAAGTTTTCTGGCTTTTCCTCTTTTAAAAGTTATAATATAATTAGAGTGAGAAAGCAGATAGTAGTTAATGAGAAGAGAGAGAGGGAATAGGGCGAAGAAAGGTCAGCGACAGAGAAGTAAATATGATGGGTGCAAGTTTGAAATTATACAATAGTTTTGTCCTTAGATAGAGATTTATTGCAGTAATTATTTAACTTTTATTATTGGGTCCTAAAAAAATATGATTTTCCTTTTTGAATAATAAATATTGTCCGAGTGTTCAAGTCCATGTCATTCGAAACCATTAAAGATGTAAATTGATCAATGGAGCTGATGAAAATCAAACTGAATAATTTGACAGAAAAATACAAATGTCAATACAGTTTATTTTAATCATGCGAGTAGAAATTGATCTCCATATATCTAGCTGTGACAGTAACTGTACGTCATATAATTCATCAGGCTACATGCCACTCAATTAGTGATGACAATTTCCCCGCCCCGTCCTTCATTGGTTTTTTTGTTTTCGCTTATTTTTCTCATGGTTAACCACTTTCATCGCTGTCAAAATCACTCTTCATTATTAATTTGAACAATATCCAACAATCCCCCACTTGTCAAATATAAAATGAGTGCAAACTCAAATTTGCCGACACTTATACATAGAGTATGGATATCTTTTGATTTGAATCTAACTTTAGCGTAAATCTTACAAAGTAATCATCAAAATCCTAGGTATCATGAGAGCTTTGAACCCATTATTCCTTGTGATGATACCAGTGAAATCACATACACAAGCATTAAGTATTCCAAATTCCACACAATCTCATTAGCGCTTTTATGGCATCGCGCTTCTCCTATTCGTAAACTTTTAAGAGAGAAACTATAATTCTCTATTGAAGTGGCAACATCTCAAAGTTTATATAGGTAAAATTCTTGCAGTATCTTTATACACTTGTTAGTATATTTTAGGTAGGGTTGCCATCATTAATGTATTTAATTACGGAGTTTTAATAATCCTAATAGTTGTTGTTTGCACTGATTTCCTTATGAGCGATTTAGTGAACGGATCAAACAAATTCTCATTTAACTTCATTGAGTGAGTGAAATTATTCCATCTTTGATTAATTTTCTCACGTAATCAAGTTCATAGTTGAGTGAGTAATACATGTTTATTTCTTGGATTTTCAAGAGACTGCACCTCCTCCAAGGGTAAATACCCAACATGAGATCGATTTATTCTCACCAACACTAGATATTCAACTAACATCGGTAAATTCTTCTAATATTGTTGGAAATTTAGAATATTGAAAACTTAGATCCTTAGTTTTCTTTAAATAACCAAAACCCTCCTGATAGCATTTCAATGTTCTTTACTTGGATTGCTAATAAACCGACTAAGTTTACTAATTGCAAATACTATGTTGGATCTTGTACATTGCACAACATATATTAGACTCCCGATAGCACTTGCATACTCAAGTTGTGCTATAGCTCTTTTATCATTCTTTACAAGGTTTAAACTCGGATCAAATGGAGTGCTAGCCTCTTTAATGTTCAAGTGTTTGAACTTATTAGTCACATTCTCAATATAATGATTGACTCAACATATAACCCCCACTAGTCTGGGTGACTTTGATACATAGTATGGTATCCACTTGATAAAGATCTTTCATTTTAAATGTGGAAGATAGAAACCTCTTTATTTCTTTTATACCTAACATTTGATTGCTCACAATCAACATGTCATCTACGTATAAACAAACGAGCACAACATGATTATCACAGACTTTTGAATATAAGCATTTATCAACACTATTATATTTAATCCAAAAGACATTATTGCTAGGTCAAACTTCTCGTACCACTTTTTTTGTACTATTCTAATCCATATAAGGATTTTATTAGCTTACATAATTTATCCTCATTTTTGGGTAGAATAAAACCTTCCTATTGTTCCATATAGTCATCATCATTGAGATCCCTATTTAAGAATGTTGCTTTAATATCCATTTGATGTATATACATATTATAGATTGAAGCTAAAGTGAATATAATCCTAATTGATATTATTCGTACAACTGGCGCATACGTGTCAAAGTAATCCGTTCCTTCTTTTCGTCGATACACATTGGCCACTAACCTAGCTTTAAAAGTTTTGCATTGTAGTTCCTCCTAAATACCCTCTTGTATCCTATAGGTTTTGATTCAGGTTGTAAATCGACTAGCTTCCAAGTTTTATTTGACATTATTGAATCAATTTCATCATTTACAGCTTCCTTCCAAAATGTGCTATTTCTAGATGGCATTACTTCTTGATAAATTTTAGGATCGATTTCCACTTGAAGAACATACAAAGTAGTTCTTTGTGACACTCTTCTCATTTCCATCAACTAAATAGAAAAAAATAAGTTGAGAGTCTAATTCATCCGATCCTAACACTTTCTCCTTTCGAGCTATTTTTCTTCTGCGAAGTTCACTTGTTTCAATATCCTCAGAAAGTATTTCTATTTGTGATCTTGCTGAGTTAGGGATCTCAACTTGAGGATTACCTCAAGAACTATATATGAAGATAACATATTTTCAATTTCAAAGAACTCTACTTCACGGGATTCAATAATAACATTCGTTTCCAATTTTAATAAACGATATGCCTTGCTATTGTGGGCATATCCTACAAAAGCGCATTTCATCCCTCTAGGACTCAAGTTAATCCTTTTAGGATCCGTGTTTATATTATAAGCAAGACACCCCCACAATTTGAAATAACCAATGTTTGGTTTTCTTAATTTCTATAATTCATATGGAGAAACATTAAATCTTTTAGAAGGAATCCTATTAATTACGTGACACGCACTTAATAAAGTTTCACCCCATAAGTTAGATGACGATTTAGCATTTAATAACATAGCATTTATCATTTCATCTTGTGTCCTATTCTTTCTCTCAGCCAAACCGTTTTGTTCGGATGTTCTAAGTGCACTACATTGATATATTATGTCATGTTGTTCTAACAGAGGCAAGTTATCCAAAAACTTGAAATCAAGAAACTTAGAAATAAGAAATGTTTTGGGACCTTCCTCATCGGCCTTATATTTGGTTTCCAATGATTCCTATATCTCCTTTGTCAATATGTTATTTGTGTAAAGATTATAGAGGTGATCGGCGGGAGAATTCATCTTCTTCTCTTTTTTTCATTTTCGTCCTTATTTCGTCAATGTCATTCTGGTAATAACACCAAGTTTGGATCCAAGATATAAAAGATCTTCAAGTTACCGAAACCATGGTTGTCTCGTTCTCCATGTTTAAAATATCGTTTAAGATTGTTGAAAAAAGTTGTTGAAGAACGAAAATAAAATCAGAAACAAGAAATTGCCAAAATGGAAGGTTTGAATACGATTATGAATTGCTGTCCTCAACCAATATTTGTCGCCATCGGGATAAACGCTTGAAGGCTTTATGACAAATAGTTTGTGGAAGTAAATAAACCTTAGTCCAAGTTTGAATCAAGCAAACAAAACTTGGATTCAAACATGTAAAAATGAATTAAAGCACAAAATTATATAACCAAGTCAAGCCAAAGAGTGTAAAATCCTTCAAAACGACACCAAAATTCAAAATCCCAACGACAAATTTTTGCAATGGACAGCTGCCCAGTATAATAATATGGCCACTGTAATTGCTGCCGACCATTTTTCGGCCTTTATCGTTTTTTGTTTTTGTTTTATTTTCGCTTGTTTTTCTCTAGGTTAACAACTCCCATCCCTTCCAAAATCACTTCTCATTGTTCATTTGATCAATATCCAACACTGAACAGGATATATTTTTTATTAATATTATTATAATTGTATACGGTCAAACGATCTCCATATATCGCATGCTAGTTGTTTGAACATTAATTAATTATTTATTTATCATGTTGAAGAGTCACAATATCTTTTATAAATTAATAAATTAAGTATCAAAAACTAGTGTTCGAATTTCATAAAAAAATTAGTGTTCTCTTATTAATTTTCCATGAGATGGTTAACATTTAGCTATATAGAGTCAAACATACCAAATATAAAGAAATTGTTACGATAATTTCTTTCTTCTACTTCTTTAAGGTAGAAAAGTTAATAAATATATTTATATTTCTTCTTTGTCATCTTTTATTTGATTTTGTAGTAGTGGACCTAACACGCTACAGAAGAAATAAGCTTTATTAGTAGAAAATTTAATTTTCAAAAAGAATGTTCAGTAAATTTAAATTTAAGATATTTTTAAACACATCTAAATTTGCACAAACATTGTTGTCAAGCGGGAGTGGGATGAAATAAAGTAGGGATCCCATCAGAGAGGTACTTCTAATTTATATTATGAGAAACATTAAAATTACTCATTTGGTCTCCAATGATGAAAGTCGTAATCTCAATTAAATTGTCTCGCACCCTTTTTTGGGCTGTGGAAGGTACCGTGACAAATAATAAAGTAGATGTAAATTCAAGTATCATTCTCACGAAAACTATTTAATTAAATTTGCAATTAACACTAAGTTTATTAGAATAGCAAATTTGATAAGAATGATTTATATTGACAAACTTATAATTAATCCAACTATCAAACTATTAACTAATTAGGAAGTGGAAATGAAACTCATCAATTAGTGTACTTCAAATCCCCAACATTCTTTCGTTTTAATATCAATTTAAAACTTTGACAACACTTAATTGGACTATGAGATCAATGTTCGTAATTTATTTGATAATCTATCTCGAGTAGATTTAAATATATCTTCACATATGGTGTTGTTATATCTCTATAAATGATGCAAATATATGAAAATACATTAAACCACAAGAACATTCATAAAATCATGCAAAGCGTAATGATATATCGCTATTCCTTATGTGGCTTTACAATAATTGTTACTATGTACTATAATTCATATTCTTTCTCTCGAATGTCAATTAAAATGACAAATTAATTCAACTAATGTCCAAGTAATTAACAA